GGCTTCCCACAAGGCTAGACCTCATGGGATTGCTCCCGAGCAGGACTGAGCCTGAAGGGACCGCCCGAGAGCCCGTGCTCCTGGGGCTCCAGCCAGCCCCCCCCCCCGCGTGCCCCTTCCTGCTGCCTCTTTGCCAGCCCCGCCGGAGCAGGTGTGGCACAGGGGCTAAGAGCCTCGGAGAAGAGGGTTCGAGCCCCCACTCATCCCCGGAGCCCGTGGGGTGACTTCAGGCCAGTCGCAAACCCTCAGCCCAAAGAGGACCCGGCCTGGCCCGCTCCTGTTTCGGGAGCGCTTTGAGAAGAGCGCTTACTGGCCACAAGAGCCGCCAGCCCCAGAACCTCCCCTGAGGGCAGGCGACGCTCCCGGCCACTCGCAGGGGATCCGGGCCACAGGACGATGTGTCCATGGCGGTATCTCTGGGGTACTTTCTGCCAGCAGGATCCTGGAGCATCAAATGTTTAAACCAAGTTCAGCCCCACAAACGGCGTTGGAACATTAGAAAACCAGCGAAGCCAGGCCGGAGAAGCCCAAAGGGCATCTAGTCCAGCAACCCTCAAACAAAACAGTGGCCCAAGGGAACACCGAAAGGGCAGCAAAGCTTCCAGGAGGTCCCTTGGCCGTCCCTTAAGCGCTCCCAATCCAGCCTCCGCGTGGGTCTCCCAGGCAGAGCCAGCCGCATCCCGGGTGCCACGGATGGAAAGGCTCTGCCCCCCCCCCCCCCCACGCCTCGGTCCAGATATTCGGAGAGACGCTGCTCCCTCTGCTGGCCCAGTGGGGAAGGCCGCCCGCAAATTCGGGCAAGCTCGGCGCTGGACCTGCGGGTGCTGGCGGGGTGAGGCCCGGTGCCGCCCGGCGGGACAGCTGGGAGCCACGGGAAGCCCTCGGCGTGCCTGCTGCCGCCGGGCGTGCCGGTTTTTCTTCCGCAGAGTCAAGAACTGCCCCAGAGGCTTGAGGTGGGCATGGCTGAGCCGCAGGCTGAGGAGGAGGAGGAGGAGGGGGCGGTGGTGGCGGCAAATTTTTCCTCCTGGCAGGTGACAGTGGGATTCCCACGTGCAGGCGTGAGGTTAAGCTGGGCCTGGCTGGGGCGAGGGGGCGTCTGCTCCCCGGCTGCAGGGAAGCCCGTCTGGCCGATTTTGCCCGCCCTGGAGCCAGGGGGTGAGCGATTCTTTGGGCTCCGAAAAGCAACGAGCACAACGGCATCGGGAAGGAGGGTTTACTTAGACAGAAATGCATGTGCCACCAAGGAAACAGCATGCGCGAGTGGCCCCCTTCTGCTCTCGGGGTGCCCGGACAGTCCTGGGCAGGCTCCGGTGCCCAGGCCGCCCAGCGCTGCCCCTGCACTCCTGCCTGAGCCGAGCGTCCCCCAGCAATGGCGTCCGCTCAGCTGGCAAAGGCACCACAGCGAGGTCACGCCTGCCCCTCACTGTGGGTGCGATGCGGGCCCAGGAGGGCCAAGGCCCAGCCACCCTCCCTCCCCGCACGTGACGCTGCTGCCCACGGACAGCGCGTCTTGGAGCAACACTCCAGCCCAGCCTTTCCCGACCCTGGGCTTAGGAGGGAGGGGACGTGGAGCACCCCGCTCCTCGGCAGTACGATGGTCTTCCACACGAGAGTCACTGCACCACCCACCCGGGCCTCAAGCCTCATGGTCCGTGCTCTGTGCTCTAGAGATGCGCAGGCGCTCGGGCATGGCGGGTGGGCGAGCCGTCCCGTCCCGTCCCGTCCCGTCCCGTCCCGTCCCTCCCCTCCCCTCCCCTC